GGGCAATCGGGGCAACAGCCACAGCTTGCACCTGCTGCTGGCACCAGCCCCAATCACTCCACTCCATCAGTGGGTGCAAGCGGGGCCGGCACCATCATTGCGTGGAAGTGGCGGTGGCAAGAGCAGGGCTGCTGGCAGAGAGGGGTGGGGGGCCATGACAGGAGGGGCTGGGTGGGGACGCGGAGGATGGGCCGAGGCCCACCCCTGTGCCCACTGCAGCCTTGAGGCCCACAGTTCCTTTCAAAGTGCACAAATCCATGCACTGGGCCCCTAGTTTAATATAAAGAATCATTGACTGTAACAGGGTGTTGGAGTAATGGGCTGTTAGCTAGTAAGACATAACGAGAACTCCAAAGAATGTAGGAATTTCATATTCAAGGAGCAGCCACTACTCCTGGGGCTGAGTAGAGAGCCAAGGAAAAGCCCACTCCCCACTCCCAGCAAGGTTGACAAACAGGCCTTGCTGGAGAGAGTGCTGTGCCTCAGTGGATGGCAGAGCCTGTGGTGCCTCACCAGTGAAAGTTGCTGGAAATCTGCCCTCTCGTTTGCCAGGGAAAGCCATTCCAGGTGAGGCACCTCCCAGAGGAATTCTGTTACAAAACTGCCCAAGATGGGTGTGGGGAAGGAGGAGCTTCTGGTCTCTGGGTGCTGATGGCCACTGTGCATTGCAGGACCTGGGGCTAAAGAGGCCATCTCCCACCAAAGGCCCAGGGCTGAGACCAGCCATGCCCGCTGCAGAAGCCTGCTGAAAGCACACTAGAACCAGGAAGAGAGCCCTCCCTTCCTGCGGTGTCTTTCCAGCAGCCTCTGCAGACAAACCTGAACATCGTACCAAGGGACAAAAATATTTTAGCTACAGAGCAGGCACTGAAGCGGGGGTTGGGGGGTAAGATGCAATACAGCGATAACTGGCACCATGATCTAGATTTTCTCTGAAAAGTAAAGTATGCCTCCACCGCAGTGCCTTTGCAGTTGCTGTACCCTCTACCTGGAATCCTGTTTCCCCATCCCCAACCATATCTGCATGGCTTGAAGCAAACTGTTTCTGATCAAATTATTCTTTATCAGTAGGGCCTTTTCTGACTGCTCTCATTAAATAGCACGCATAGCACTTTGCAACTCCCCTTCCAGATTTTCTTTTCTCTATAGCAATCATTAGTGTTGGATATAATTTATTTACATGTTTATTATTTGTTGTCAATCTCCACCTTCTAGAATGTAAGCTCATCAAGCACAGAGAATTACACGTTGTTTACTCTTGTGTACTGCCCAGCAGAGCTGAATAAAACAGTAGTATTCAATAAATATTGAATGAATGAATGAATGAATGAATGAACGAAGATAAGGAGCATAAAGAAAGAGAAGGGAAACACTAGCCAGAATCTCATCTCCTAGACACTGCCACAGTTCACAAGATGATACATTTCCTTTTAGATTTTCTCCAAAGAGGATTTTTAAATTTGTATGGTGGCTTAACATACATAGAGAAGTGTGTTGATATCAAAAGAGAGCAGCTTGCTGAATTTTTATAAACTCAACCCACCGGGTAACCAGCACCTGGATCAAGAAATAGAACATTCCCAGTAACCTAAAAACTCCTTTTGTGCCTGCTCCCAAAGAAACCATTATCCCAATTGTAAAAGCAAGTATAAGTTTTTGTGCTTATGTGAATGGAATTACACAGTATGCATTTTGTGTCTGGCCTTTCGTCCACATTGCTGTGTTACTGTAGATCTTTCATACTCCCAGTTGTGTTCCAGTGTGTGGACATACTATTTACCCATTTTACTGTTGATGGACATTTGGGTAGTTTCCATTTTGGAGCTATTCTGAATCAAACTGCTCTATATATTCTTATACATGTCTGTTTGTGAACATATGCCAACATTTTTTAGGCAGATGTCTACAGGTGGGATTGCTGGATCATAGGCTATGCATGTGTTCAGCTTTACTAACCAACCTCCCCACCCCACATCCCAGGGATATTGTCATTCATTCATGTCAGCTAGCATCCCCTGATTTTATATATAGGAAGTGCCCAGCACTTCAAGTGGCCCTCAGTATGCACCATTCTGGAAACGGGCCTGTTCTTTCTTTGACTCCATGCAAAACACTGAACCTGGTACACTGGAAAGAAACAAAGACAAGCCAGATTATTCGTAAGGGTAGCCAAGACCCGTAACCATAGCTCTCGATCCTGAAAAAAATATATTCTAAAGTTATATTCAAAAGAAAAAACCCTCTCTTTATAAAGTTAGAATTGGAAGACTCAAGAACAACAACAATGGCAGATATTTGTTGACAATGTCCTCTATGCTAACCTTAGTCTGTATAAATAGTCTGGCTTCCATGAGGGGGAGGGGGGAGAGGACACATTTGTAATACCTTAACCAAAAAAGAAATTTAAAAAAAAAAAGAGTCTGGCTTCATTTTTGGTTTGCTGACAGCTTTCAAGCCCACAAGGAAAGCCTGTGGGCTCCCTCTCTAGGCACCTAGGGGGAGTTTAAGTCATATAAGCCCTGGCCCTCTTGCAGGACCCTCACCACAGCCCTGCACCCTAAGCACAATAAAATGAGCCAGTATGGACAAATTCCCTGCCCTCATTGGAGTGGGGAAAGCAGTCCACAGAAAAATAAATTGCTTTTAAATATATGAAAGCATAACCACCTCCCCTAAAACCAAATACATATGCATTAAAACAAGGATATATTTTTTAATTTATCAGATCAAACAAGATCTAACAATGTCATAATACACTGTGTTGGTGAGGATGTGACAAAGAGGCACCTGTGTGCCTGTTTATGACATAGAATAATACAATTGGAGGGCTATTTGGTATATCTATTAACATTTTAAATGTAGCCTCCTCCTTCTTCAGTAACTCTACTTTTATGAATGTATGCACAAATACAGAAGTATGGTCCCACAGCTAAAGAGGGGCAGGGCTTGACACGTCCTCAAATAACATGTATTTTATTTATATATAGGTCTTTATAGAAAATTAGAACAACACAGAAAGTGAGGAAGAAAAAAACAACCCACATTCCAGCATCCGTGATAAAAGCCTATTGCTGCTCCCTTCTTACTGACAGAGCAATGCTGCCTCCTGGTGGATTTAGCTTTTTTCTTTAAGTACATTCATTACTTCACCATTTTTATTTTTTAAATGTACTTAATGTTTTAAACTAAGTAATGCACTCGTGTCACTCAATATTTTTAAAGTTCTAAATGGCATACAATGGGAATTCTCCCTTTCATTCCTTTCCCCCTCAAATTAGGTTCCTTTCCCCACAGGCAACCAAACTGGCCAATCCCTTGAATGTAATTTATGCATACACCAGGATTCAGTGAATGAGAGTCCTTCTTTCTAGTGCCTGCCTTTGAATCATAAATAGGGCTCCTAGAAATTTAGAAAATCCAAAGAAAAAATACTTCTACACAAAATATTACTGCCTGATTTGTAATCATGAAAAATCAGAAATAATATGAATTCCCCAAATCAGAATGACTGAGTTATGTTGTACTACTAGATATACACTAGTAATCATCATGAAGACATGTAATAACATGAAAAAGTTATCTATCCCAAAATTTTTAACACAATATACAAAAGAATACAAATTTTTTAAATCCGTCCTTTGAAATAAAAAGAACACAATTATATATCATTTTCAGCTGCCAAAATAGAAAAGTATATTTCTTAATGATAATATCAGTTCTGATATTGTAAAAAGTGTAGCTGTGTCTTTTTAGTAATAGAGCAAATCTACTCAAGGTTTAAGAAAGTTAATTAAAACGTTTACATCCTTTCACTCAAAAATTCCTTTCTTAATGGTTTAAATATAGAATGATCTTTATGCAAAAATATGGTCATCCCTTTATTTGCAAGTGGAAAACTAATCTAAATATCCAACTACCAAGAATTAGTGAAGTAAACAGTGGTATGTTCACTTAATGAGATATTAAAGTCACTAAAATGTTTGCAAAGATCTGAGATGTTTTTGATGGTAAAAGAAATAGAGCCAGGCTGGTGTGGCTCAGTGGTTGAGCATCAACCTATGAACCAGGGTTTGATTCCCGATCAGGGCACATGCCCATGTTGCAGCTCAATCCCAGTGGGGGGGCATGCTGGAGGCAACCTATCAACGATTCTCTCTCATCATTGATGTTTCTATCTCCCTCTCCCTTCCTCTCTGAAATCAATAAAAATGTATATTTTTTAAAAGAAATAGAAAGTTGAGTATATAGTAAGATCACATGACCAACAAGTAGACAAAGGCTAACATTGAATGTTTGGGGTGTTGGGACTCTATTTTCTTTCCATAGTTTAGTGAGCATCCTATGTAAAAGCCTATGTGGTCATGACGCCCTCACGCCGTAACAAGCAATCACCAGGAGGCTGTGTGTGCAGTGAGGGCATGCAGTGAGGCTGGGGGTCCCGCAGCTTCGGCCTACCTCTTTGGGGCAATCCATCGAGGAGCCCCAAATGGGTGGGCAGGGCGTACCTCTTTGAGCAATTAATTGTGGGGCTCCTGCACTGTGAGAGGGCACAGGCCAGGCTGGGGGAACCCTCCCCAAGTGCACGAATTTCATGCACCGGGCCTCTAGTTTATATAAAATATTTTTAAAGCAGAATACATAAATTATGAAATGTACGCATATGGGTCTGACCAAGCAGGATTCAGCAGCAGACTGAATGTCTTTACTCTGTTATCTCAGTCATTACAGCCACAGACCAATTTACTAACTGAACTAATCTGATAGAAGCTTATATGAAAACTGGACTGGAGTAAAGTCTATAAGCAAGTCAAAGCACATTGGAATTCTCCACTCGAACCTCTTTCACCTCTAGGGACTTAGGAGTTATCTTAAATATACTATCAAATCCCGATGTCTAATTGCACTTTTCCTTTTGTTTTTTCTCTTTACTCAATGATTTAAAAGTAAGTATGCCAAAGATTTTCCTATGTAAGGTTGTATACACAGAACCACAAAGACCATACTTCAAAGAAAGTTTTAATCGATTTTCAAAAACAGTTTTGAGCATCCAGGATTTTTACTCTGCTAACCACTAGGCAATAGGTGACTACGTTTACCCTTTGTTGATTTATGCTTTTTATTTGTGTTGAGTGTCTGCCTTCCCAGCCCCCGACCCCTCTAGGCTAGGAGTACAAAACCCTTTTGGGTTACACCTGGCAGATAGATTGGGAAGCTAGCCAGAGGTTTACATCAACCCTACTTTACAGTTTGTGATGCTCAAGGTGCAGGTTCCTGTGACACTATCTGAGGCAACCTGCTGGGAGCTGGTCCATCCTTGCTGCTTGACACAGTCGCTGCAGGGAAGAAACATCTGCACAGCATATGTTTCAAGGGACCTGGCGTATATGGCATACTGTTCTTAATATGTTTGCTCCCCTTCTTGGCGCTATGTGTTTTAACCAAGGTCACCTCTCCGAGAAAGATTGTTTCCCCAGGTGGGGATTTTTCCCTGAAGTTAGGGAGGGAATAAAACCCCTTAACTAAGTGCCAGGCAGGTAGTTAATCACTTTAACTACAAACAATCACACTTAAGCTACATAATCTTTACTCCCTGGAATGGAGATAAGAAAC